AGGTAATTAAAACACAACTTATTTTCAGGTGATTACACACAAATGAAAACATACCTAAGAAAAGTATATTCCATTTCTGCCAATAGATCCTCCAAAATGTTACACTATGTACCTTTAAAGCAGCTATAACCAATATTTTTTTTTATAATGGATCAAATAAACATGTACAATGTGAATTCTCAGACAGGCCCCTTCAACTACACAGAGCTTTATCTCATCTTTTAGCTCATTGTTTTAGTTTTCCGGCCCAAAACTTTGCTGCTTTGATTGAGGCTCACCGCTCTAATCAACAGCAGCACCACACAGCAGCAGACACACAAAGTTAGTGAAGATAAGGGAGCATGTAGCTGCTGAAGACATTTCCCCTGGTGCAGGCCAAAATTAGAGTAACAACAAGAGTGAATATTGGACTTAACAAGGACAATGAATGTGTAACGATTTGCTAAAAAAGTTTGTCACATCAACTTAAAAGGTGATAACATATTAGCACTACAACACTACTTTACTGTAATATCTGTACTGACAATGCTTTCTGGGTTGACAGGGCTTCTAGAGTGTACACACAGTAGTAGCTCATATGTACAAACACACCAGAAAGCAACAGAGCGAGCACACATGACTGTACTCCGACACACAGTGCTGAGAATAGCCTGTGGAACTGGCAGATGGCTGTCATCGACTCAGAAACAGACACCGAGAGACAGTCTCTCTCCACCCAGCTCTCCATCCATCATTTGGCACTCTGCCATGCCAATTAAAACAGCGTCGGGCACGCTGCCCTCCTCGCACACTGGGTACACAAACACAAAACCCAAGGGGGGACTGACTGTGCGTGATGGTGACTATTTATGTAACATTCATTCAACCTATAACTTAACTTGGCCTATGTAATTATAAGAGGAACAAAGATTACGTGCCGTGTGCAGGTCTTTCATTTCTATCATTTGGCTTTTATTACATTTTTCATATGTACAATACATCTGGCCTTTATTAAAGTTCAACTAGATGTAGATGAAATGTTTTATTTATGAATGAAACTCAGGTGTGGATTCTAGTAGAAAAGAAAATGGGTCTGTCTCTGTGTGGGCTAGATAAGATACATAACTTCTCTATGCTTCTCTCTCACTCGTTTTTTTCTCTCTAGTATCTAATTGCTGGTCTCACCCCATCCATTACAGTGGCGGTGAAATGGAGGTGAATTAGCATATGTATAAATGCAGTGTCAAACACAAGATGGTGTTAACAGGAGGGGGCACACCCTGTTTTCAACTGCATTGTGTCTGTGTGTGCCCATGTGTGTTTTTCCTGCGAAAGTGTGCACCGAGTGTGTGATTGTATGACTTAATATCTATGCATGAGTGCACGTCTGTTTAATTTTCATAAAGGGCTCCAAGTGTGGAATGGACGACCAGCATTCTTTCAAAATATATTCTCTCAATTGGTGTTTTGATGGTTGTCGTGGAGAATACGGTATCAGGCCATGCTCAGGCCAATAAAAACAATCCTATGAAGAAAAACACAGCCCCTCTCATTTATTTCAATGATACCACTGTGTTGACACATCGGGAGTGCAAGTGAACTGGGAAAAAAAACCACACAGGGTCGACCAAAAAAAATTAACCTAGCTCGCCGTCGTATGGAAACACACTGTGTTGGCCAATCATGCAAGAGCACATTCCTGGTAGATTACATTGTAACATGAACAGGGTAATTCTACTGTTTACCTGTTGATCTTTGAGACAGAGGACAAAATAATTGCTGCCATGATAACTACTAGAGTAGTAAAATCCTGTCTGTAGTATCATAAAATGCTGCTCAGTGTTTTAGGGTCTGATAAGTTTTTAAACTTGGGGATGTATTACTCAAACCACCTTAATGGGGCCTGTTTCACAAAGGCAATTTGTGCTGAGCCCCAGATGGCAAATGGTGTCAACATCGCCTTTCACAAATGACGGTCAGTCACAAATAGGACAAAATTCTAGACCTTCACGGCGCTAGCGTGGTGTTTGTTCTGATGAGAGAAACTTGTCACAATTAAAGTGGGAGGAAATTACCTCATGTTGCAAGTCCAAGCTTGCAAGTTGCAAATTTGGTGAAACAGACCCCTGCTTTGTATTTCACCCACTCACTGGTACCTGAAACCTGTTTTTAGTCTTAACACTCAGTAACACATTGGTCTAAAATCTCCTATAGGTGTTCATATGATAGCATAGGATACAATTCACATCACTTTCCTGCTCATCAAACCATTCAGCGACCCTGTGTGTACAGGCTTTTCTTATGTTCAATTTACTGAAGGTTTTCCATTAATTTGTCACCTGTCTGTATCTATGGATGCATGTGTGAGAAAGAACAAGAATGGAGGGGAGGAAAGAGTGAAGCTCTCACTTCCTACAGCTGTTTTCTTTAAAGAAATGCAGTCAGGGATACCACAAAGATGGACAGAAACAATATAAAGGCAGTTTTAAATCTAAAAACGAGCTATTGGCTCTGAGGATAAAAAGCACACAATACGTCAGAGTTACTGTAGCTACTTTTAGCCTCCCTGCACACTCATAAATAGCAGTTGTAAATAGACAAATCCAACACACCTGAAATTTCATCAAACTGAATACCTTTAATCAGTATATGTCAAACCTTGGGAGTGTGCCTGTCATTGCTCAGTAATGGGAAAACAGTCATTTCACTCCTCAGCTTATAACTGCTGACAGCAGAAAAGTCTGGACGCTGCGTGGTCTATAATATACTCACTCGTGTCGGCTTTTCATTCATCAATCCCACCATGGGCTGATCTTAAACCACTTTGTCTTCTAGTCTTCCTTTCTATGGCTTCGGTACTTTTTAGTTTGATGACCAGTGAGCTAATATGATCAGAGAAGTGAACTCGGTAGCTTTTCGCTGGGGGCATTGCTGTCCTTAGCCAATATAGGTCAGTGTCCTCAATAAAAAGTCTGACAATTCCACTTATATATCCGTGAATATTAAATGGCCTTAAATCCTCTCTCTCTCTCTCTCTCTCTCTCTCTCTCTCACACAAACACACACATACAGTCCCCAGCTTTTTTTTTTTTCTGACTTCCCCCTGTCACTTGGAGTTCAGGGATCATTTTAGAGACTAATGTCAAATTAATTAAGCTCATAAAGCCCCCGCATGTCCTCTGAGGCTCAATCTTAGTCCGTCTATGAGGACATGCCACACCAAAGCCAAATCATTTAGCTGTCAATCTTTTTATTTTTTTCTTTCACTCGGAACTTTTTCTTTGTGTTAGTCACTTTCTATACACAGATCTCCACATCACCGCTCCATCTGCAGATCTCCTCTGTCATATTATTTCACCACCCATCTATGATTTCGTCTTTTATTGTTGCTCTAACAGTAAGTGCCGTGCTCCTTTCTGCTGTCTCCTCCTCTGCCGGTGGTTGAGCAGTGAACGGTGATCTGGACAAGTGACAGCAGGAAGCAAGTAAACAGAAAACTGGGCACAAAAAGTTCAGCGCTCGATTTGGGAAAACATCAAAAGCAAAGCTGTCTTCCAGTGGGGCTTCATTTACTATTTACAACGTTGTAGAGGAAACTAAAGGAGGTATTTGTGATAGGTCAGCATTATCTGTGTTTCTTCTCTCAGATAATGAGGGCGAAAAGAAGTTCAAGGCTCAGGCATTCATGTGTGTGTGTGTGTGGGTGAGAAAAAGGCCAGCTGCTGTACTAGAAAAGAAGGTTACTGGTATTTGCATAGGCTAATGAAGGTCAGGTTTATACTGAATGTGCCAGTCCATAAAGACACATAACACATAACAAGTTAACAGATGAATCAATCATTTCATAATTGTATAGTGTATATATTCTATATCTGTCTGTATTTTTAGAATTATGACTTCATATGAATTTAGACATGCCTCCTTTCCACAGCCCACTGGCCTCTGCACGTGTGTGTGTGCAGTGATGGATATCTGAGTCGATCTACAAGCTAATTAACACACTATTGATTCTGGTTCAGTGTCAAGAGAAAATTCAGTAAGTGTACTATAATGAAAGGAATTCGTAGGTAAAATATGTCACATAGGTGAGAGGAAGAGCAGAAAGAAAGAGGGAGAGGGGGTGGTGCAAATGTCTTGCAGGTTAATTACACAGGACTTTCTGCCTCACAATAAGGAGCGGGCGTCTCTGTACAAAATTAGATGTGTGTGTTCGTTTGTGGGCAGCTGCATGTTTAATGACAAAACATGATGAGATAGGGACTGCAGAGACCACATCCACCTGTTCTTTTCCACCAGCCCCCTCCACCACATGTGAGCACACACACAGATCTATACAGCTTACATAGGACCACATGGGGTTGTTAGGTTTCTATGGTGCTGATTTGCATCTTCCACATCAAATAAAAGCATGCTGGTGTCCAAAAACACGGCACACTGACACGAAAGGCTGCCCATGCAGAAATAAAAGCTGCATGGTGAAAGAAACACTGCTGGTTCCTTGCATGCTGCCCCATACAGAGGATTTTAGATGAGGTCGGACTTAGTGAAGGGGAGAAAAATGGGGCTCTCTGGACCAAGAAACGCGCGAAACAGGCTGGTACATAAAACAACCAGCACTCACTGCAAGCAAAAAGAAAACAAGCATGCCGCTAGAGAAGGTTTACTCCTTTAATGTTGCTTGTTTTCCACTTCTTAAGTTCGTCTCATTTCCCTCTTCTTCTTCTTCTTTCCTACTCTCGGAAGTTTAAAAAGACCAAATATTGGAGTAAAATTAATCTGAGGAAAATCCATTTCCCTGCAAACAGATTAACAATTAAAGCTCTTGGCAGAAACAGCCTTTGAAGTATTATGGCGGACAGTCATGTTTTTATTATGTATCGAAGTAGCCTGACACAATATTCAGTGGCCCACTGGAGACTAATTCCCTCTTCTGGTCTTGAGGTCTTTCTCTTCTCCTCCCTGTTTTTGGCAACAGCCAGTAGACCTAATAACTGCTCACTACTGCATCGTAAGTCTTTTAATCCTGGGATCTTTATAATCCTTTGAAGCAGATGCTGTAAAACTTACAGTGCAGTTACAATGCAATGTCAGCGCTGACATATTGCAGAGGTGCTTAATGCTATTATTATACTAGACAATGCCATTTACTGGATTCTGGACATATTACTGGACTTCAAATACGAGCACATCAAAGATCCCTCCAGTTGGCTCCCCATGCAGCATACATGCAAATTAAAAAGGACATATCCACCAAAGTGGCGATGGTGGTTCAGCATGAGAGTTTGAAACCACAACATGGACTAATGGACTTATCAAAGAGAGCTCCCTGACCTTTTGGATGAGTGAGGGGGTGGGGGCATGTTGTTTTCATGCGGCTGAACTGAGTGAACCTCAACAACCACAAAACACACACCAGACCATATAGTAAAGTACAGCCTCGGGCAGTAATCATAGGGGTCTGCCCACGCCAGGCCTGCTGAAGAGACCCCTCTAATCAACCAGGGGCCGTTGTTTGTCCCCCAAACAACCCTGGTGTTAAACAAGCCGCACTTTAACACGATAGTAGACTGACATCAAAGAGCCATGTAAGCTCCAGAACAAGAGAAGGAGCAAAAGTGACAGTGGGTGAGAAACGCAGGGAAGAGAGAGAAGTTCACTGTCATGTTTGTCATTTAACTTGGTGGAATTTGATCGACATGAAGGTCAAACAGCGTGAGTTCTGGGCAGGAAAAGTAGACAGGAAGACAGACAGAGCGGAGAGATTGTGAATGGTGGGAGGATAGATGAAAAAAGGGGAAATGAGCAATGGAACAAGAGAATGATGCAGACTGTCGTTCCTCACATTATCAACTTCCACACAATCCTCTCAATGCAGGTTCCCAGGGAATAGAGAGGCAACAGAAGAAAGCATTGCCTGTGGCAGCAATAACCTATGCTAAATGATATGAAATCTGTGTGTGTGTGTGTGTTGTGTGGTGTGGTGTGTAGTGTGTGTGTTTGTTTGTTGTGTTGTGTGTGTGTGTGTGTGTGAGCACTCTCTTTGGCTGTTTTATAAGAACCTTAGCAGCTCTGACAACGCCTTGACACCCCTCACTACTCCCTTTAGTGTGTAAGAGTTATGTCTACAGATGTAAACTGAATATCACATCTTGCACAATTTTTCTTCTCCCCACTCATACCTTTCTTCCTAACTACCCTCCATCTCACTGGTGATGTTTTTTCAGACTCAACTGTTTTATTTAACAGTGAAGTCGCTGCACAGGAGCGAAAGAAGAGGGGAAAATGTGTGTGTGGATTTTCTGCGGACTACATTTGACAGGGAAATCAGTCATTATTATGACAGTAGTAGAAAACCAAAGACATCTAATAGCAATATATTCTGTAGGATGGATGGATGAGCTGGGTTTCAGTGAAGATAACAAAGAATAGGATAAGGGCAAAGATGGATCAAAATACTCCCTTCAGTGATGAATCAATGAATAATACATTATCCCAGTTAGAAAAGGTTGCCTCCACTTCAAGCTTATCCTTTAAACCTTGAACTTTTTTTGTGAATGTAGCCTATAGCGGCAACAACACAGGGCTGACTTCACCAAATCTGAAGCTTCGCTTCTAAATGGCTTATTTCTAGCTTGTGATGAATCTGAGCAGATAGATGACAATGATGCCTCCATTACTGGCCAATGGATCCACATTTTTCATCTTAATGAAACGTGTTCCTTGGAGCCCAAACTAAATATTTAATGGCCTCTCATGGCGACCTTGAAACCCCTTTAACAAAGACAAAGGGACACCCCACTTTCTTTCTATTCTTTTCATTCATGCCTTCAACTCCCTCTTTCTGCCTGGGCCTCTCTTCTATCGAAGAGGAAAAAGGACACACCAAAACAAGAGTGGACATCTCAAAGGACTCTGCTCTGCTTTTAGCCTGAGAGGAAGCAAGGATACAAGGAAAATGATGCCATTTGTGACGCTGGGATCTCAGTAGCAATTTCCCTGCTCCTCTCGGGAGCTGTTCCACTGAGATGCTGTTGATGCTTGGTTGGACAATACCATGTAAAAATGCTGGCAAAAAAGAGTCGCCATCTCTCAAAAAGTCCATGTGAGGCAAGGAATAAACCAATTCACTGCCAAAAGTGCAAGGGCTAATGAGGTTTGGTGAGAGTTGAGGCTATCAACTGAGGTCAGCTATTTTATTACCCATCTCCATGGGGGTGATGGGATGAATATTACAATCCAGTGCTTCTCAACACTGGGTTCCTCTGCTAGTTTTCTAATCCACCATGTAGTTAACTGCATTCACTGTGCTCTCCAAGGTGTAAATTAGTTCAAGATTAGATGAGGAGAATGAAAACCAACAGGACTCTGAAACCTTCTGAAAGCTGATGAAGATGCTGTGTATTAGCTTTCTCTTTCTCTCGGTCACCAACAGCCTTCATTAAATCACACTCCACGTGCATTCATGTTACGAGTGTGAAAAATAGGTTTGAGCGTGTTTATGTACATTGCAATGAAGTCAGGGTTTGTGTAAGTGAATGCTACTGTGAGTAAATGTGTGTAATGTGCATGTCTAACCAAAGTACGTGCTATGCTGGAAACTAAGAGGATCCTGGCCTCCGTCCAATATGAGGTTAGTCAGTTATACATGAGTGTGTGCAAATGCGCATGCTGGCAGGATGTGAGTGTATTCATACAGAGCTGTATAAAGAGGACAATAACAGTCCTTCCAGTGTTTGAGTAACCTGTTAGCAGCTGGCAGGTCTGAGTCTCAGCCAGACAAAACAACAGATCAATTTTTCATTCAGTGACCGGGGCAGAGGAAGGGAGGCTGCGATAGACAAAATAACAGACCACTGTGGAATTATATTGAGAAAAGTGCTTGAAGGCAAACAAAAACATCACCTTCCTTTCCATCATGTTCACCTTTCATGTACATAAAATCCCATTGTGAGGGAGGTTGCTGCCAGTGTTAAGTATGTAATATGATGAGTTCCTGTGACAAGTTCACACATGTATATGTATGTGAATAGAGTCTAGAGTCACATGTACTTACAGCAACAAGAATCTGTGTGCCGCTATGCACAACCTCGATGTACTGGTAGTCCATGAGGCAGCCCATGACAGTGATGTAGGAGTGGCTCTCTGTGGTGCGGACTCCTGGAGCCTGCGGCATCTCTCTTCTCACACAGCCTGGCCCGTGTTCGCTCCACCAAGAATGATGGGCTGAGATGTTAAAAGTCAGCAGGTCACTGTCCTGGAAGGAGAAGAAAAACACTAACTTCTTAGCTTGGACTCCATTCATTACTTATGATGTACGTTCATGCATTCTTTATGAGCAAACCATGTTGTACAGGAGGCATGGAGCTTATCTCTGGACACCTGTGGTAGATGTTGGATTTTTCTTATGGTTGTTCTCTTTTGCTCAGAGGGTTGGTTTATTCAGTTACAAACCATAGGCAAAAGAAGACTTATAACAATGCTACCAGCTCTGGAAAGCTGTACTAAGGCACAGTGGTGCTTTTAGTTAAATGCAAGCATCAAAATGACAATGCTAACATGCTGTTCCGAAGCAGGAATAATGTTCACTATCTTACTTAAGCATGTTGGCATACTAACATTATGCTGTGTAGCACTAAACACACTGTACAGCTGAGGCTGATGGGAATGTCATTACTTTTACAGGTATTTGGTTATAAACCAACAACAACAAAAGTGTACAAATTGAAATTTTGACGTGATGGTGGTGCTAGAGCACAAGTCATTAGAATGTAATGTCTGTACAATCCATCCAATAGTTGTTGAGATATTTCAGTCTGGATCAAAGCACTGGTTCGACTGATACTGCTATCACATAAAGCCATGCTGCGATCACCCCTATACAACCGCGGTGAACAGAATTCTGTTAGTGGTGCTTAAAGCGATGAAAAATTACATACAACAGCAATGGGTATTTACAGAAACCATGTATGTATGTGTTTCTCAGGATAATCCACAGACCTCACAGTCAACAGTTTCCTTTGGAACCCCTTTCTGGTGAATAAATAATCCCTATGAAAACAGCTGACTGTGTGTTTTGTGGTTTATCCAGAGTAACAGGGATGTTGTTTCTTCAAAGAGATGTTGCTATTGAATGTTGTTTTTGTGAGCACTACAAATGAAACTTCATTCACCTCAACTTTATTTAGGTGGGGGGGCAGAACTCTCAGAGATACATCTCAAAACCAGGGCAAATAAAACCACAACTATCTGCATGGCTAGATACCACTGGATGTATGTGAGTTTTTAACTTTTAGATCCAGCATTTTATACATGTAGCTCTTGTGCACCCTGGCGATACTCAATTTGCACACCGCCATATGAGCCCACACATACAGACGCTCACACCAATCAATACCCCAATACAGCAATCTAACCCCCACATCTGCCCCTCAGTGACAAGACATGCATTATTAACAGAGCCAAGTGCTGTCAGGAAACATCTCTGATTCCAATCCACCCCCACTCACACTTAACGACGTACACATCAACAACATATCACTGGTAGAAACAACTTTCAACAACAGATCTATGCAGTCAGTGGAAATAAAAGCAACAGGAGTTATGGACAATGTTTAAATGATTCCACTGTATATTAGCCCTCCGTTTCTCCATGTTATTCACTCTTCGTCACCCTTTGTCTCCATTTTCCTTCTCTCTCTTTCGTTCTCTCACACAGTCACAAAAACAAGGGCGGCTGAAGGTCAATAGGTAGGATTGTGAAGACTAATAACTTGACAGATGGCATTGATTGAGCCTGCGAGCTAGGGAAACCATCTCTATCCAAGCTGTAGCCGCACTCACAACTGCAGTACGTCAGCAGTCGATATTCAAGAAGCTTTTGGCAACTTACTGTCAGGAGTGTTATTGTTATGCTTCCATGCACCCCAAAGAACAAATCAATCCCTCCATATCATTGATTCAAGGTTAGTCTACTGATACTGCTCAAACTATTTTCTTTAACAAAAGTCAATACATATTTGGACACAACCCTGTTACTGGAGTCACTAGAGACATGAGGCATTCTATAAAGCTAAACATCAAATGATTAGAATCTTATTTCTCTTGATTTATTGTTTCTGAAATACTGAGAAAAGAGTTTGTTTGTGTGATCACATCAGGGAGGGAGCAAACTTGAGTAGCTAACTGAGGGTGTTGTAGACTCCTTTGGCTCTGATGAGAGTCTCATATTTACTTACATTTCATAAAAGGTGTGCATGCACAGTGGTTGCATATTGATTCAGGAGCTAGAGTAGGAGGGTGGTCTGCCATCATCTCTAAAATAAAGTCTGCTGTCACTGTGTGTGGGGGCGAGACAGAGAACAGCAAAATTTCACTCATATTGTGCTTAGTTGAAAACACAATTTTGCTGATTGCTTAGACATGTTTTTTTTATTGTCAGACACCCAATAAAGTATAAAACCCGTGATTTAATCATGGCTCATACGTGCTACCTTAACGTTAACGCTCACAAAATAAACATGTATACATGTTTTTGATAACACCAGTATCATCTGTGATGAGTTATACTGGCAATCAAAATGAGTGAGCACAGAGACAGGAGCAGTTTAGGCATAATAATTAATTCACACTAAATGCAAATTCACTCACTCTGGAGCAGCATTGGGGTTTGACAGCATTTTATTGAGTCAAATTGAATGTGAATCCTTTGATATCCCTAATCAGATCAATTTAGGTTTAGCTTTTTATGTTGTACTGGCTGTGAAAACAAATCTCCCTGTCTATATACAAGACGTCTACAGCCATGCCGGTGTCTCTGTGAGGCTGAATTCATGCACAGCAGTGCTTTGAGTTAAATGCATGCTAACACGGCAACGTGATGTGTACCATTAACTACCTTAGCTGGATATCTGCACCAAATTTCATGGCAAACCACCCAATAGTTTTTGAAACATTTCCATTAAAATCAAACATATCAACCTCATAGCTTACGTTTGAGGAAAAACCTCTGAGGACCTTCAATGTGCATACAATTGCAAGGCAATAGCCAGTTCTTGAGATTATTTCAATGTGGACCACAGTTGTAGATCAACTGAAAAGCATAAAAGAAAATCAAAAGACTGACATTCAAAGAACTACCTGCTAGTTAGATAATACGTTTGACTATCTGGGTTGTATATTGTTCTTTGTGAATATCAATAGACAGAAGATAAAATTATTTTATAAGAGTTGTGTTAGAATCATAGCTCAACATATTGGGTACTATATTTATTGGAAAATATTTTCAAAAAGCTCAGTTACGGACTGTGAAATACGAAAATAGCGAGGGAGGCTTTTTCAAATTCAGAAAGCTTCGTGCAGACATGTCCAAAATCTCTATGCCTGCAGACACTGTGTGCAGAGTGTGAGAGAGAATGAATAAAAAGAGAGGCAGTGAATGACTGGGGACTCTTTGAAACAGAGGTGTGTGTAGAGTAGCAGGGGTCTGTCTGTCAGTCTGTCTTGCACTGTGGGGGAGGTAATAAGGGATCAATAGGAGGTGACAGAGCATGTGGCATATGACTCAGACAACCTGCCCCCTCACTTCGAGGGCCTTGTCAACGCTACACAAACCACTTACACACACCCTCCAGAACAGTCCTGTCAACATCGGTCGAGGCAAGTCAGACTGAATTAGCTGACTCTGTTTTATGATAAAATGTGTTGGGGACCTCTCAGAAAGCAAGAATGTGCCAAGTTTGGTCATGCATGTGTGCATGGGTGTGGGTGGGTGTGTGTGTGTGTGCTCCATTAGCCAGCTCTCCTCCTGGCCACCATATGCAGAGCTGGGAGCCCAGGCTGGCTCCATCTGTCGGGTTAATGCCCAGCCTCAGCCCCAAGCAGCTGGCCCCTACAAGCCTCATTATTCAGCAGGAACCATGCAGGAACACACAACCACACACACAGTGGACACACGTAGACATATGCAGTGAGAGACTGACACACTTGATGGAGCCAAGGTCTATCACACAATGACAAAGTCGCCAGAGCTTGGGAAGGTGTTTCTGAAATTCATTTTGGCTGTCTGAACTGGTGTGAGATGAACGTTGCCTACATAAATTCATTACTCTCAATGGTCAGGCAGGCAACTGGGCGAGATACCCATCAATAGCTAAGAGGGGAGAAGAGGGGAGAGGAATATGCTGAAATGAAAAAGATATAAAACTAGCAAAATGCGCAGAATAAATTAAAAGAGATCAAAGGAGCAGTGAGCAGAGTGAAATAAATGAGAGACGACAAGTTTGACAGGAGGAGAGAGGGAGGATAAATTTCCAGGTTGTCTAAATTTAAGTGTGCATACAGATTTTGAAAAATGTGTATGTGTATGGGGGTCAGCACAGATGCACCACACAAACAATTTAAAAGGAACACAGACATTCATGAAAGCCAAATTATATATCTCTGTTGAGGTGTGGCAATTGTGGGTGGGTATGGCGCAGATTCCTAAAGCATAGGTAGTGATTTATAGTTTGGTGGATTCATATTACATAGCTTTATCATGCATTCTTTTTTACTGTGTATCACAAGTAATCATGTTTACTTGGGTTGCATTTGTTTTTCACACCAGAGCATTCAGGCTTGACATAGGCAAAAAGCACTTGGAAGCAGTGCATTATATCTAATTATAGCTAAAATATATTATATGTTCAGGGCTGATAAAGCTCAAGAATGCTCAATTATACTTTTATATTTTATGACAATAAATCTTATTGGAGCAGTTACATCTGCTGTAATAAAAAACATTGCCACAATGTCAGAATTAAAGCTGAAAATGTTCAGGAGAAAAAACAAACTCAGACTCAGTGTTTTTGTTGGCAAAGACAAGAGTGATGTGTTTTCTTCCAGTGAACCGTCACTGCCCTCACCTGTCCCTGTTCTGCTGAAAATTGGAATCATTGCCTAATTCACTATGGAAGGGAAAAGTCTGCAATGGAAACTGCTTTTCTATGAATCACAAAAGGCAAATGTGTCTATTATTGAAAACGTTTTTCCACCTATCAACAAACTCTACCTGCACCAGATTCAGATACACAAAATTAGTTGTTTTACCCAGTGAGAGTTTAACTATAGCAGGTATGTATATCGGTAGGTTAATGTATCACTAAAGAGTCCTCTTATAGAATAATCTGCCAGCTGATTTATGTGCCATGTTCTCTAGTGATAACACCATTGCTGTGGTGGCAAAACCGAACTGAACATATTTTCACTGTCAGAAGTGACCCCCTCTGAAAGATTGAGGTAACCTGTGTGTGAATGTAGAACTTATTCAGCTTCAAAACTCCAGTTTTTAATGCTTTTGCCAAGAAAT